TATATATTCATTCATTCCAGCATCTGATGATACAAAAAAGAAGATGTACAGCTCCATCTTAGTAGTAGGAGGAGGCCTTATGTTTCATAAAGCTCAAGAGTTTCTTCAACACCGAATTCTCAACAAAATGCCACCTTCTTTCAGAAGAGTTGTTGAAAATGTTGAGGTCATCACGAGGCCTAAGGTAACTGTTAACTGATAGCTAAGTAGTTAGTAAACTATGGTTGAAATCTTAGAAAAAATTAAAAGAAAAAAATTCTTCCAAAATCCCAGAGTAGTTGAATATCTGAGATTTAAGGGAGCTTTCAGCCTATAACATAGCACTGGCTTTTTAGAGATGGAGTTAGAGGCATAGCAAGAGTATGACTGTGACTGTGTGACAGTGCAGAGCACTGAACTGTTTATTAGCTCAAGGCCCTGTTCATAAAGAAGCAGTTAATACTGGCCCATGAAGGTAACCTGTACCCCCAGCAAAAAAATTTTATTTTTTAGTATTATCAAGATAGTAGAAAAACAGGCATTGAGATTAATTTTCATTCGTCATTAATCAGGCAAAACTTGTAAATACGTTTCCATCTATTTCAGAATCTCCATTACTGAAGGCAAGATTTTCATGATGTGCCTAGAAAGCATCTTGAAACAAAAATGCTTTGACTTCTCAAAGCATCTTGAATATCAATTAAATGCTTTTTTCTATGTTTTTCTTGGATAATACTGAAAAACTTTTCTCCTCCCCTACCCCACCAGATTCTAACTGGTGAATACTGTTGGAAAAATAGGATACAACTTTGGAGAACTATGCAAAATGAGGCCAGTGATTATGTGCCATCCGTGTTTTGAATTTAGGATATGGACCCACGTTTAATTGCCTGGAAAGGAGGTGCAGTTCTGGCCTGTCTGGACACAACTCAGGAGCTGTGGATATACCAGAGGGAGTGGCAGCGTTTTGGTGTCAGGATGTTACGGGAGCGAGCTGCGTTTGTGTGGTGATGGAGGTGGTTACACAGGAACCTGTAGCAACTTCACTGAAGATTCCTTTCCCCAAATGCCCTTGTTTCCAGTGCACACGAATTGATCTTCTGCTGATACATATTTTTTGTATTTTATTAACTTCGACTGAGAATTTTTCTGGAAGTGTTGTAAAAGATCAAAGAACTTACTGAATTCACTTGATTTCAGCTACCCTTTGTCTTTTGAATTGTATGCATTGAATTCTGCATACAGAGTAGCACTGTCATCTCCAAAGTAACTGTATTTCTATTATACAGGTTATGTATATTAAAATTGCACAATGTAGGAACTTAAAGTATAAAACATTACGTGACCATTTTAAGCCAAGATTCATTCCAGAAATGTGCACACAGAAGCAACAGCTGAAGAGTGCAGCTGTGGGTTTAATGTAATATTCTGATTACTACTCTAACGTTTGCAGGAGATGAAGTTGTTATATAAGTGATCATTAGGATAAAAGTGAAATGAACTAAAACTACAGTCACTGTTTATATTTTACTTATGTAATAAATTATTTTATTCAGTGGAAAGACAAAGAATGTGCAAGTGTGGTATTTTTTTCTTGTCCTGTACTTACCATCAATACCTCTTGTTAGCTTTTCATTATCCATTGTGGAGTCCACTTTTTTCCCTATTTTACAAAAATCACTATAATACACCTAAAAGACCTAGCTGCAATTTTATACAGCCAGCACATCTTCCAGTTTCATTCCACCTGAGGGCAGCGAGTCTGTGCTCCTCAACCACCCTGCAGCACAACACACCTGGTTTGGTCAGGCAGCTGCCTTCAAAAGCACTGCACTGATTTAAACTGAAATACTGAAGCTGGAGCTTCCTGAACAAACTTGAGAGCATTCCTATTGCAATAATACTTAAAAGGCAGTCTCTTTCAGGTGACATTATCTAAAAGGATGCTTGCAGCAAAACTACAGAATACAAAAGCTCAAGGAGGTGAGAACTCTTACCTCAGTCTGAGATGGCACGAGCTGCCACAGCACTGAGACACAGTCACAAGTAGAGCAGCAAGAAGAAAACATCCTCCAACTGAGCTGATTGTGAGGAGCTCTAAAAGAGAAAAAAGTCACTTTGAAACAAGTCTCTAGAAGCTGTCATCAGTTATCATAATAATACTTAGCAAGATATGGTATGTATTGATTTATGTGTATTTTAATAGAATTTAGAGAATATGCACACAGAATTACTGAAATTATTATATCCAATGTCCATACATAGAAAGTGTACTAAAAAGCAATGCAAAGTGATTAATCATCAATACTGGAGTTGTTGATTACTTAGTTTACTTAAATTTTCCATCCCTACTTTGAAAGAAACAAGGCATGTCAGTCTGAATCTGCTGCCTGTCAATTCCTGCCATGTTACTGGGATGTACCTCCCCCTGCAACCTGATGTCTCATCAGTCATCATCTCATCTCCTCTTTTCCTTTTTGTTTAGTTTTACCCTGAGCAAGAGCTACAAAGTAACTAATTCCAGCACTGCAGCATTAGCATAATTAGCATAAAACTTAAGGGAGGTGAAAGGCAAAATTTGCCAAGGCAAATACATATAAAGTCACCTAAGACCAAAATCATCTGCATCTTAACAGGATTTTAACATTTGAACATCTGTACAACCAAAACATTTATTTTCCCAAGTTTTTGCAAACATCCAGGGGAAAATCTGCTGAATATACCTGATAAATATTGCAACAGGAAACAATGACTAGTTTCAGCTTAGTTTGCAGTGAATACTGACTTGAGAATGATAAATATTCAAGTATCCATGCATTAAAAAATAGCAAATTCACCAGTTTCTAGTCCTTAAACCCATTAAATACTGGACACCTGCAGGAGCCCTTACAATCAAGTGGAAATTCCTCTATTTTTCCAAACAATGAACACACTTAGAATTTTGTGCTCTGCATCTACCCCTACTTAACTGCTGAAATTACTCTCTTACTTCATGAAACTTCTATACTCTTATACACATTTAGTGCATACTTTCTATAGACTTTTTATTTGCTTACCAAATAACAGCTTTGAAAGTGTACAAAATTATTTCAGTACTGCAAAAACACACATCAGTTTGGTTTCAAGCATTCTTAATCACTGCAAAGATTAAAGACCACTTGTATCAAGTACACATTTACTCTTAGTTCCACGGGGAACAATTACTCTTTTCCATTAATGAACAATTATTCAGAAGTTTGGAGTGTGGTGCTTCTGTGTGAATAACCAACCCCTCAGAGACTGTCCATTATCTTCTATCTGATTAAGAACAAAAACATTAAGAAGTAATTAAGATAGAAAATTATTAATGGTTCAATACATTCTGAGAAGAGTGATAAGGAAGAACTTTGGGAAAAAAACAGCATTTACAAGCAACATCAGAGCTATTGCAGCAGAGACCATTGCCCTTAGATGATATCAGGAAAAAGTACAAGATGTCACAATAATCTTGATTTGTCTTCATTAAAGCAGCTTTGTTCTGCCATGAGCATTCTGAAAGGGTAAACAAGACTCCTGGGTTTACCCTCCAGGACTGGCACTGACTCTTCACACAATACCAATCCCTGGCCATTTGTCAGGGAATTTGAGGAGATGCTATCACCACCGGCATGTTTTAATGCAGTTAAACAACAAACGCGCTATATTAGCATATACTGAAGATATTCAGAGGACAAAGCCAATAGAGAAGTAACCTCTCTAAGGTATATTGTGGAACTATTAGTTCTTCCGCCTACCCACTGGGAAACGGTTCAGAATTATGATTGAACACTCTTATCAGTGATACAACCAAACCTGAAAGTCATCACTGTTCAGAATAATGATTGAACACACTCTTATCAGTGATAATCAAACCCCAAAGCCGTCACTGCTGAGGTAAGGAATCAGTCACCACAGACAGGCCCGGCGTTCGCTGCTCTCACTTCCAAGCCAAGGCTTTCTCCTGGAAGCACGCATTGCACAGGTATGGACCGCAATTAAAGCCTTCAATGCAAGTTCCAGCCCGGCTTTCACGGGCTGCCCTCGAGCGCTGCGCCCAGCGCTCACACATACAGAGATAGCCCCGGTCAGTGCCGGGCACGGAGCGGGGACGCCTGGGCTTCCACCCCCAGCCGCGCTGCTGCTCCAAGTGCTCCCACTGGAAAGCGTTTTCGCAGCCCAGGGTGGGGGAAAAGTTTTTTCCGCCCTACAGAGAGCGGGGTGGAAAAGCTGGAGCGCTCCGGGAAGGAGCGGGGTGAGGTCGCCTCAGCCCGGGGCTGGGTCTGCCCCGCGCCCGGGAGCTCTGAGGCGGAGCTGGCAGCCCTGCCTCGGGGATCTGACAACCCTGTCCTGGGGGAACCTGGCGGAGCTGGCAGCCCTGTCCTGGGGGAACCTGGCAGCCCTGTCCTGGTGGCACTGGCGGAGCTGGCAGCCTTGTCCTGGGGGAAGCTGGCGGAGCTGGCTGCCCTGTCCCGGGGGAACCTGGCGGAGCTGGCAGCCCTGCCCCGGTGGCACTGGCGGAGATGGCAGCCCTGCCCCGGTGGCACTGGCGGAGATGGCAGTCTTGGATGTCTTGGGGGAACCTGGCAGCCCTGTCCCAGCGGGGCAGCGCAGCCGCCCGGGGACTCGGGCGGGATGGGCGAGGCTGAGGACTTGGCCCGCTGCCCCTCTGGGCGCTGTCGAAACTGTTCGAAGCCGCTCGGGCACATCCTGCGCAGCGGCCAAAGGGTGCACTGAGGGGGGAAGTGCCAGCGGCGCTCGCTCCCCGCCGCCCCGCGGAGCCTCCCCCGCTCCCGCACTCGCCTCCGCCCAGGCCCCGCGCTCCGGGGCCCACCCCGCGCTCCGCCCGCCGGGCTGGGCGGTGGCTGCCGAGGGTCGGCGGCAGCCCCCGCACTCGAGCGGCCTCCAAGCCTGGGTTGACAGGGACGCGGCCTGTGGGTGCCCCGTGCTGCGGAGGAGAGCGGGACGAGCCATCTCCGCCCTGCTCGGGCGGGAGCGGCCGCGGTCCCGGAGCCCCCAGAGCAGCCCCGGACACGCTTGTGCAGAGGAGGAAGCGGAGAGGTAAGTCGGCTTGAACACTTTCGGCCCTGGAAATGAAACTCACCACTAAGTTTTCGAAAGTGAATGGATTTTTGGAAGTCAATGAACTTTTGGAAGTCAATGAACTTTCTCCGTAGTAGGACTGAAGGGAAAGTTAGTCCAAAACATTCTGCAGCGGATACATTTAAACCTGTTACACAGCCTGCAGCAGGGAAAAACAAACAAACAAACAAAAAGCAAGATCTGCTTTAGCCTGAGGAGCTCTTCCTCCTGCACTTTACACAGTCGGGCCTGACAGCATTTGGTGATAACACGAAGAGTTAATGTCCTAATAAAGCCCCATTGCTCTGCTACATTTATGTGGTCTATGCTGTGGACATCTCTGGGAGAGGGTCATATTTTACATCTACCAAAGAGGATATTCTTGTTTCTCCTGTATCAACAGAACAGAGTGTAAGTGTTTCAGGCACAATGACCCTCTCTTTTTTGTTTCAGGATCAGTTTAGAAGAAATGGGGTAGGATAGTGCTCGTGAAGAGGAGCCACTGAAAGAGGAGAGTGGATGTGGATCAATGTGGCAAAAAGAATTGCACATTGAAACTAGCATTTTAGTTTTAATCCATTCAATCAAAACGTGTGCTAGTTTTATATTAAATCAGAGTGATTTAAATTTTGACCTCTGCACTTCAGAACTCAAAAGCACCGAGCTTTGTGAATCATCTACTGACTGACTGTCAAAGTCACTTGACTGTTATGGCCAGGACACTGCTGACTGACTTCACTCCCAGCTCTCTTTACAAGATAAAAATTCTCTCAGATGTTATTCTAGCATATCTGTTCCATTTGAAGTAAAACAACAACAAAATGCAAAGAAAACCTTGAAATAAAATCTAGCTATATAGCTGAAAAACATGGTGGAGAAGATTTAAAACATACTATTTAAGTTATTTAAAAGCAACATTAGGTTTAGCTTTCTTGGTTGGCAGTTCAGCCTTCTATCCCAGACAGAGGGATAAAAGTCTACCTGTCTTGAGTCCCTTAAGTCTATTTTTACATATGACCCCAGATGGAGTTGCAATTGTAGGTACCCAGGGAATACATCAGCCTTACACTGTATTCGGAAAGGTGTTATAAGGAGGCAAGGAGCCCTAACACCTGGTTTCAGAATTCCACTGCCCACTTCTAGCTAACCAGTGTATGCTAGCTGTATTATTATATTCTAGCAATGGAATTTTCCTGCTGAGATTCTCCTGCTCTCCTCAGTCTTATGCAACTACCAGCCATAAGTCCTGCTGAATAGGAGCTTCAGAAATACAAACTTTTTAAAAACAAGCTCCAGATTTTGAAGCTCTACTGCAATACAGGGAATGTATTTTATGTTGCTGTCATATGCATTCCTGCAAGTCTGCCCCCTGATTACTGAGGAACATTTTACTACATGTTCATAAAGAGGTCGTTGTATAGGGGAAACCCAGATAAAGGCATGCAGTAACATCCAGCAAAGTCCAAAAGATTTTTTTTGTTGGTAGTGAGTACAGAGCATCCCAGTAGGACCACAATGTATAAAACCCGCTACTTCTACCTATTTCCTTTTAACACAGCTACTGCAACATTTAGAAGAGTTGGCCATAACACTGTAGTTCCCTAATGGGACAGAGTATCTTTCCCAGATTATCAGAGCCCAGACCCATATTCTACCAATCTACTGCTCCTGGATCAATAAAGTCCTGTGGCCTACCAGTTCTGCAGGTTAAACACAGGTACTACAAAAGCATAACCTTTTTCATCACAACTAAAACAAACAAAAACCTTTCTACCTTTGCATCCTCTGTTGCATTGCAAGAAGCTGATAAACCTTTTTCTTCAAGAAAGAATCCTTTGATAGGGCTTCGCCAGCAAAAAACCCTGACACCATCCCCATCTTCAGCTGGGAACAATTTTGAATTATCCATGTGAGGAGAATCAGCTGTGTGAACTTTAGGCTCAGACACATCCCCAGCATCTTTTTTCTTCTTTGCAGAAGAAATTTTTCTCCATGGCTGGTTGTTCATTTACAAGTTTTGGGGTTTGTACAGCCCCAAACAAGTTTATTACAGGTTTTCCTAAGAAAAGTCAGAGAGTTATGCGTCCTCCCATCTGTTCCCAAGAGTAAAGAAACATACTTTTGCAGATGAGATTGTACATAAAATTTTAACTCTACGTGGAAAATTTCTAACATTTAGCAGCAATTCACACCTAATTTTGTTACAGAGGATTCAACGTATTTCTGGAGAATACTTGTTTATCTCTTTCAGCTGGGCAGTGCTGGGAAAGATAAGTGTAATGGACACTGGATAAGTTGCTGTCTCTAGAATACACGACAACAGCTTAGACAGAAGTCATGGGCCAGGGAGAAATACTATTTACAGTCTCAAGGATACCCTGTTTCATTAATTGTTTAGACCAAAAGGAGTGGTTTCAGGGGGAGAGAGCAGGAGAAACCCTTCCTGGCCAGCAGGAGCAGTACCTGTAACACACAGAAAATCTGGCACTGAGTCCCTGTGCCTGCCCCAGTGTGACACAGAGCTAAACCTGTGGTACTTCCAAGGCTCACAGGCTCCTCTGAAAGTAACAATCTTGCCATTCCTACTCGGCCTAAGGATCTGGTGGTGTTAGATTGTAACTGTACTCACAGCATTCTTGCACGATCTGGTTTTAGTAGCGAGGTGGAAAGGCCTGTATAGATAAACAGATTTTGCCTTTCCCTGTATTAGGAGACACACCTGCAAATCCAGCATTTTTCACCTTAGGGATAGCTGGAAATGAGTTTGTTACATGCTTGTTTTGTGGAGAATGGCAGAATGTGCAGGGAGCATACTCATAATTTCCATTGTGAATTGCTTTGTGTGATATCCCTGTCACAGACTTACAGAGAAGTTTTTGAAATTGTTGTTCTTAAATTCTTGCCTATTACAGGTGGATAAAGAGAGACTACAAGGAATGCAAAAATTTCCACCTCTTATGGGTTTGGCAAATACTTGAAAATGTTCATCTGTCTCAGGAATGAGAAGCAAATCAAAATCAGACTACATATAATATAGGATAGTACATTTGACTGCTGCACAGACTGCATTAAAAGAATAATAAGACAGTAAATATTTACTGGTTTATTGCCATTGTTGTTAACTTTTTGGGTAATGAAAATGGGTAAAGTATACCATTGTCACCTGAAAATGACTGACATTTTAGAGGTAGTAATGCTTACATCTTAATTAGTATTTTTTGGGGTTTTATCTAGGGTAAACCACTGGATTTCTGTCAGAAATTCTGCAAGACTGACTATCAGTAAAGATGTCATATTTAATGAAAGGACTTAAATGTCACAGTCCTGTGATGCACAAAGTAGCAGGAAGCCTGTTTAAAACACACACATTAAAGAACACGTTAGTCATCCATGAACAACAATTCAGAATTTCACGTGCATCATCTCAGCTGAGCTCTGAAAAGGCGAACTCTTACAATTACGTGATTGTGGGAGCTGGGTCAGCAGGCTGCGTGTTGGCCAACAGGCTGACAGAAGACCCGCAGAGTTCCGTGCTGCTTTTGGAAGCGGGCCCCAGGGACACCCTGCTGGGCAGTAAAAGGCTCATGTGGAAGATTCACATGCCCGCTGCGTTAACCTACAACCTGTGCGACGAGAAATACAACTGGTACTACCACACCACGGCACAGAGGCACATGGACAGCAGGGTGATGTACTGGCCCCGGGGCAGGGTGTGGGGCGGCTCCTCCTCGCTCAATGCCATGGTTTACATCCGCGGCCACGCCGAGGACTACAACCGCTGGGGCAGGCTCGGGGCTCTGGGCTGGGACTACGAGCGCTGCCTGCCCTACTTTAAGAAGGCACAGACACACGAGCTGGGCCCCGATCAGTACAGAGGTGGGAATGGCCCCCTGCACGTGTCCAGAGGGAAAACAAACCATCCTCTTCATCGGGCATTCCTGGAGGCAGCCCAGCAGGCTGGGTATCCCTTTACAGATGACATGAATGGCTATCAGCAGGAGGGCTTTGGCTGGATGGACATGACTATACACCGAGGTAAACCATAAAGGGGTCTCCTCAAGTAATTTCTATTTCTGCTCCGGAAATAATTTTGGAATATGGACGTATAATCTGCATTGAATGCCATTTGAGTGTTTAGGTTACTACCCAGCTATGGCACTCTGTATTTACCCCCTATTCATTTCTCAGCAGCTTGCTATCGGTGTGCTGTGTATTTCATTGCAATGGTAGGAATGTCCTGATTCACAGTTAAATTATTTCATTGTGAATTTTTTTATGTTAAAACAATATCTTAATAATTAATATCAAATCATATTTGCTTTGAACTCTATAAACTCTATGAAGACTTTCCCTGTGTAGGCGTCCTGGTGGTTATTGGCCAAATTCTGAAGCATACTGAGCATGACTGTTTTGATACTTAATGTAAATATACATTGTAGGTCAAAGATGGAGCACAGCTAGTGCTTATCTTCGCCCAGCCATATCACGCCCAAATTTATCAGTTGCAGAGAAGACACTTGTAACAAAAATCTTGTTCCAAGGAACAAAATGCATTGGTGTTGAGTATGTGAAAAATGGGCAAAGGAAAAAGGTAAGAGATTTTCAATTTCCAGTGTGAAAGGTATGAATCAGAGCTAAATTATATATTTTTTAAAAGGCCGATAAAAAAGGCAACTTAACGGGCAAAAAATGTTAGTTTTTTTAGAGGTTTTGTTGATTCTTACAGTGTATGATTCCTTGTCAGTTACTTTACGTAGATGATGTTCCAGTTGTATTGATTTAGAGATTAACTTCATCATCACATTTCCATCTCCCAGAGCTGAGGGGACAAGCCATAACATGATGTTACACAGAGAGTTATGTAAGATGTCTGACTGGAGCCTGTGGTGCAACCTGCCCTGTCTCAGCACATTGACCAGAGTGCTGCAATGGGGATGTTTCTGAAAAACAATTCTGCCAGAGGAAAATCTGTAAAAGCCAGATATTTAAATCTGAATGGCTCAAGGGATAAATGACAAACCTTGCTGCAAAATGAGTATTTCTCAGTTTCAGTCCAGCTTGCGCTGAAAATGTGATTGTGTGGAAGGAAGCTTGAATTGTCATTACAGAACTCTGTGGATAATTGTTTCATTTTATGCCTCTTTCAATCCATTGACTTCTGTAAGACCTAAACCAACCTCACTTGCCTTAACAGCTGATTATGGACTGGTCTGTAGGTAGGATATTGCCTAAAAGGGGCTTGTATGCTAATAATCTAAGATATTTAGTCACAAACTATTATAAAACAATTACAAAGTGTAATAATAATATCCGAGAGAGGGTTGAGCACAAATCTTGGTGGTTTGAGTTCAGTAAGCCTTCTAAAACTCAGCAGACAAGTTCTGTGACTGAGCACCTGCCAGAAGTTAAAATGCAGTATAAATAATCTGTTATTTGATTTTTTAAAGCACAGATCAAATCTGCTGCATTCTAAGTGGATTGCAAATGATAATCATTTTACCAATATCAAACAAAATTTTCTGATTTCATAAGCTATTAAATTTCTGTAAAAACAGTACCTCTAATTGCTGTTCTTGTGCCATTATCAAGATCAATTTTGTTGAAGAAAATCTTGGAAACCCAATTACACATGATCAAAGACTTTCTGAATACTGGATCATTTAATTGTGAAATTCTTCAATTGCTATGACTTTTCATACATACTGATATATGTATGAATTCTACATAGTGAATAATATATATTTATATTTATATTATGTACTGTACAAAATGCATCTTTGAAGTATTTTCCTTCCTTCTCTCCCCCTTCTCCCTCCCTTCCTCCCCCAGCATCAGAACTGCAGGATTACTCTGCTTTTACTTTCTGGAAAATTTTATACCTGTCAGGATGGAAGACCTAATAATTTTATTGCATTATGGACATCAAGATGAAGCAATTGACTACATTAAAGTGTTTCTGTTTTTACAGTATGTTTTAGATAGAATCTCTTTTACATCAGTCATCAGCAAAGTGAAAAGATCACCAAAACCTGATTCCAAAATTATTCAAAACCTATTCACCAGCCAGTGACTTGTTATTTGTCTAACACTGAAGTTCTAGAGATCTCCCAGGACTCCAGTAAGCCCTCTGACAAAAATAGGAAAGGTAGACTGAACATTCCTGGAGTTTTTAAGTTCAGAATGAAGCAGAAAAGTATATTTATATTTCATATAAAGGATGAAAGTGTTTTAATGTATTGTAGACTATCCCAAACAAAAGTGTATCAAAGTCACTTTTTCCTCTTAGCATGTTAGCTGTGACATGAAAAACTTTGTGTGGGCTAGGAATAACTACAGTGCTGACTTTGCAGTGAGTTTAGAATGAGCAAGCATCATTTGAATGCTGCACTGAACAAACTGGTACCAGTTCTGAGTGTACCATAGAAAATGTAAATAAGTTAAATAAGTTTGTATAACATGCAAAGTACAGCTCTAAGTATTGATTCAACAGGCTCTGATATGTTTTTCGTTAGTCTTAACATACTAATGATTGCCCAGAGCAAAACAAAAACAAATAAAAGATAACAGCACTGGCCATCTGTTGGCCATATCAGATTAGTAGTGTGAAAACACTTTTTATTATTATCACACTTGGATGTTACGGTAGCAATAATCTCATTTGCCATCTTTCTGTATAGCTGAGGTGTCATTCAAAAAGGACAAGATTACAAGTTAATATGCATTCCATGCTAATCTGTTAAAACTCTGGGTCAAAGGCAGAGGAATAATTTAGCAGCCTGTATCATGACCAGCTCAGGGCTCAGACCAAACCATTTGATGAAAAGACTGTCAGCAAAACCAAGTTCAATCTGTGCCTGCAGCCAATTTTATCAGTAGTACTTTAGTGAATGGGGGGGGGCTTTTGAGAACTACCACGAGCTAAGAAATCAAACTTTAGCCTTGCTGCCTGATCCGAGTGCCACAGGTACTGTTCCTCTGGCAAGTAGGACAGGAGCTGGGCTCAATGTTTCTGTGCCATACAGTTTGAATGGATTGTAAAGATGGGAATAAATACAGGAATGATCAAAGTAAAAGCTTGATTCCTTCTCTCTGTGGAAAATTCTGACAAGACAGGAATACATTTAAATGAGGAAAATGTGAGGGAGGGGTGTCTAATCGGGATCAGAACAGCGTAACCAAAGAGCAGTCTCTGACGCTGCTTGCATTCAGCTCAGGCTTAATAATCTCAGGGCTTTTGTGCTCATTTCCTTTCAGGTTTTTGCCAATAAGGAAGTTATTTTAAGTGGAGGTGCCATAAATTCTCCCCAGCTGCTCATGTTGTCTGGAATTGGAAATGCAGATGATCTCAAAAAACTGGGGATCCCTGTTGTTTGCCATCTTCCTGGTAAGGTTTTTCTTTCTTCTTTTATCTTCCTATGGATGCAACTGAACAACCATTAAATTATATTAATAATGAAATTGAATTTTCTTTATGTCAAGTTGTGAAGACTGAAACACATTGAAAACATGTTTGTTCCCAATCACTGGAAAGATGTATTGATTTTATACAAATCAGTGGAAACATGCATTGATTTTAGAACTAAGCAACAAATTCCTACTCTTTTTTCACCACATTTGAAAGTGAAAAATGCCTTTCTGAAGTCATATTTTTGTAGTTAAGCAGCACACTTGTCATTAAGAGTTTTGAATCAGTTTTGATCCACGACAGATTTTATAAACTCCCACTTTCATAAATATTCAAATATAGAAGAAATAATATTAACTTTTCCTTAAAGCTAAAGAAGCAAGCACAGTATTAAGCCGTATCTGGCAATTTTAGAAGAGCTGATATATCTGCCATTTAACTTTCTATTTTCATTCTAGTTATGCTATGTTTATGTAAAACCTTATTCTGACATGAGCAAAAGGCTGATGTGACTCATGGCCTTGGTCTGTGTCATCACTGCCCTTGTAAGAGGTTGGTTTAGTTCCCACTTAAGATGTTCTCTGCTTGAAACTTGGTGGGTAATTGTTCTATGTGAAATAACATTTTTTTTCCTCTCACTTTCTTCTCCCTCCCCCCTTTCTGCCCCCTGCAGGAGTAGGCCAGAACCTTCAGGACCATTTAGAAGTGTATGTCCAGCAAAAGTGCACCAAACCTATTACTCTATATAGTGCACAAAAGCCACTTAGCATGGTGAGGATTGGTCTCGAATGGCTTTGGAAATTTACAGGTATGAAGCAAAGTATGCAATCATTCTACCACTAACTGATTTAGAATTATGACAGCCTTTTATCTGTGAGTTTTATAGTCTAGGAGTCTTAATATATAATCTTCTTCATGGTCTGGGAAATTACTGGAACTTGCAAATGGATTTGAACAATTTCTTTTTCTCTACACCAGAATATTTTAAAGTTTTTCTATCTTAGGTAATGAAGGAAGTTATTATATACCACTTTTAACATTACTATATCTCATGCAAAGAAAAATTCTAAATTTAAAAATCAGTGCTACTAAGAAAAGCTATTGCAAAAAAGATGGAGAAAATATTCTAAATCAATGTGATGTAAAAACATTTCAACTAACTTAAGTTTCCTATATAATTGTCTCAAAAGAATTTGTTGCTCTGATGAGAATTCTTTTGGCCTGCAAGTAAATGTGAGTTGACTTTCCTTAAAATGACACATGCATTTTACAGTACTTCAGTCATAAATTATACCTTAAAAAGGATCTATAAATACAATCCTTGATGTCAGTTAAATAGCTTGGCCAAGCTTGCTGGATTGTGTTACTGTTTAGCAACTTATTCTGTGTATATATGGCTTTTTACCACGCAAGTAAATATTGAGGGCTAACTTACAGTTTTAAACAGAAATGAAAATAACATAAGGCACATTGCAGGGCTTTCATCTTTCCCTTCAGGGTAGGCACTGTGGATGGCTCTGCCTGTTCCATGTGACTGATGGGATAACTGGAGTGCACGGCACGGAGCGAGCAGTGCAGGGATATCAGCATGTGCAGCCAGTTCCCTCCACACCTGTTAGGATCCAGATCTGCTTCTGCAGTCAGACCCTTGACGTGCCAGTTACAGCAAGATAACTGTAGCATCCCAGTCTCAGATCAGTGGGATTTCCAAAGTTAAGCATATTTACATTTATCCAGGAATTAAAAAGCAGATGAAAGTGATGCACGCTGCTTAAACCACGAGCTGTTCATAATGGATTTGCATTCCTTGCGATCGACCCTGGACATATAAATTACTCATAGCAGTGCAACTAAGGCTTAAAAACAAGTGGACTTGTTGCTCTTCTGAGGTACTTAATGGCATCTTCTCTCTCCTTTACACTCCCTAGGTGAGGGAGCCACTGCCCACTTGGAAACTGGTGGATTCATCCGAAGTGAACCAGGGGTTCCTTACCCCGACATTCAGTTCCACTTTCTTCCTTCTCAGGTGATTGACCATGGTCGGGTTGCTTCCACAATGGAAGCTTACCAGGTGAGTTGAAGAGAATGTTCTATTAAGGTTTTGTAGCCATTAGCAAGGAGGTTTTTGCTCCATTATAAATATTGATAATTTGGTTATTTACTGAAAATATAGTTTGTTCAGTATAATATGAAATAAACTGCTTAACCTCCTTCATTGGGGAAAAAACACTGCCTTGTTGTTTGATATTGCCACCAAACTTATGTTAGTTTTTATCTCTGGGAAAGAAGGCAAGTCCTGAAATAAGTATTCACTCTACTGAAGTGCCATAGTGCTGTGGGTTAGGACACAATTTTGCAGTGGAACAAGGTGTTCCCTGTTCCAATGCAGTTTAGACAGAGGTTTAAGTGAAAATGCATAGAAACGCTCATTTATTCACTGGCACAAATCCAAGCCCCTTTTTAGATTATTGTCTTGATCCAAAACTCTGAATGCTAATTCTGGGGAACTGTCACTGAATATACATATTTTTCCTTGCTAATCTCTTTCCTTCAGAGATATAATAATTTTGTCCAGTTGCTGATTGTATTAGAATGCTCTGATACTACTAAATTGCAATGGTTGTGTTTTAAATGAAAAGAGCAGCTGTGAGTTGATGTGACAGGCATATTTCCTCCCTGCAATGGAATTACATATTTACAAAAGAGATTATATAAAATGGAGAAATGTTCAGTGGTATTTTCCACTATCTCTGGTTAATATTTACATTTGCTGAATTTGTAAAGTCTATCTAAATTGCAAAAAAAAACAAAACAAAACAAAACAAAACTTGAGAAAACCATGCTGAGTTTGGAAGCAGCTCTGGTGGGACTGTCTCACAAATACAGCGTGGGTGTTGCAGGTCCACGTGGGACCCATGAGGAGCACAAGTGTGGGCTGGCTGAAGCTGAAGAGTTCAGACCCAAATGACCATCCCATCATTGAGCCCAACTACCTGTCAACAGGTGATTGCAGCCTCTCCTTGCTCTGATGTCAGCTTATTTCCCATCTGTTTCAGTAGCTGACTTTTGTACCTACTCAACACCAGTTCAGAAGCACTGGTTGGTACATTGTTACTAATTTCTTATTTATAAAAGTCAACTAGTATGAAAAGAGGTGATTGTGCAAAGCACTGTGTAACCTAGAAAGAATTCCCTGTTGGGGATGAAGTCAGAATTATCAGTCTTTGCTGTGTCTTGCTGTTTCATCACTACCTCTGCTTGTGAAGAAATGAACTTCTTTTGCTTCTTTGTGCTGAGACTATTTTCCTTTTCCTAGACAGTGGGTACAGCAAGAGAAAGTGAGTTCTCATCTTCCCTTTTGGGCTTGTGCAATAAAAGTGACGGTTTTGTTCACAGTGGATGTAAATATCCGTGACTTTGAAAAATACTCGGCTTTATCCTGGCTTTCAGTAAGAAGTGAGAGACTTTCCTTCCAGCCTTTTTTCTGCAATGCTGCTTTTTTCTATTTGCATTCTCTATATTCTGGTAAATTAAATGTGTACTTACAATTTTCTTATTTTTTCTCTATACAGAAAGAGATATTTGGGAATTCCGCCAGTGTGTCAAATTGACCAGAGAGATCTTTGCTCAGAAAGCTTTTGAAAAATTTCGTGGGCCTGAAATTCAACCAGGAAATCATGTTCAGTCTGACAAAGAAATAGATGCCTTCATAAGGCAGAAGGCTGATAGTGCTTATCATCCTTCCTGCACCTGTAAAATGGGCCAGCCTTCAGACAGCACTGCTGTAGTGGATCCCCAAACAAAAGTAATTGGTGTTGAAAATTTGAGAGTAGTTGATGCTTCAATAATGCCCAGTATTATCACTGGAAACTTGAATGCCCCAACTATCATGATAGCAGAGAAAGCTGCAGATATAATTAAGGGCCTCCCATCCCTTGAGGAGAAAAATGTTCCTGTATATAAGCCCAAGACCTTGGAAACACAGAGATAAATAAATATTCTCATCCTTTTATATCATTTGCTATTTAGGCTTTCATCCACATGTTGGTATCTCATGCTGAATATGCCAACATGATAAATATGCAAAACAACATATCCTATTAAAATAACTATTAATTTGAATAATTTTTTTGTATTAGACAACCTACTGTTTCTTTTAATCAGCTGGCTTAAATTCCTTTTTAGAATCATAGAATGTGCTGAGTTTCAAGCGACCAATCAGGATCATTGAGTCCAACTCCTGGCCCTGTGCAGGACACTCCAAGAATCACAAATTTAGTTAAATATGACCTTTTGTGGTAAATTCAAATTTTCTGTTGAAGAGAAGCTGTTTCTAAATGCCAAGATGGTTGTACACACGAACCAGAAATACTGTGTGATTGCACAAGGAGTGGAAGAAATTAATGTGTGCTATTTTGAAAATGATTATGTTATTTGAAGAATTTTAACTGCTGTGAGATTCTTAACCAGGATAACAGATAATCAGTGACCACCACATCCTGCAAAGAATGGTTAAGCAAATGTAAGCACTTATGCAATGTCATATTCAAGAGCTGGATTAGTTTGTATCAGAATTCATAGGAAAGGGAGGAACCTGCATGTGCTCAGAGTTTGTCAAATGTGGTTTTTATGAAAGGAATGCACGGTTTACAAATCCTCACTCAAAGTTACATTTCACTAAGCTCAGTAGTCTCTAATTATATAGCATTCAGGGAGAAAACATACAGTGTATTTATCAGAAACTTATTTATCTAAAACATGCAGAACTGGATTTGATATTTATAAAAATCTACTGGAAAATGGATATTTCTCTTTGTGGTTTTTTGCTGCTTTTTTTTTTTCCACAAGAAGCTTAGCAGAATTCTGCTCACAATTTCAGCTTATGTAGTTGTACCACTCTAAGCAGTAGGAGATCTCCACTTTGTATAACATCCTTAAAGTGATTGGTCTTGGCAAGATGATTGTTTGCAAAAGATATTTACTGGTAAATATTCTGAATGGTTCCTTGCTATCACTCCAATTTTATTTAGAAAAAAATACAACCAAACTATATTTAAAATGAAATGTTACTCAAAATAACTGTATAAGGTCAGATATTGATGAAAGGGGAAGAGGTCTTCTTAAATTAGAAGGCAAATATCTTATTCATGAACCAATACTGTATTCTAGTTAGGACTTAAATCTTTGCTTTTAGATTTTCAGATATGTAAGTCAAGATACCTGAGCTTTCATGGCTGGTTTTGGTGTCAAACTAATTTTCTGATTACTGATTTAAAAAAACCAAAAAACTAAAGAAACTGAATTCACTGAAAGAAATTGAATCCATTGATTATTTTGTATTTATTAAGTATCCCAAAGTAACTTCTGACTAAGCAGATGCCAAATCATAAAGTAAAAGCTTCTGTAGCCTAAGATTGCCCAGGACTTGTGGCAAAGACTAAACTTATATATTTTCAGGGAAAAAAAAAAGGAATTTTACACCATTTTAACAGAGTATAGGAAACCTTGCTGACTCAGATGTTGGCTGGAGGGACAACTGCAGATGTTTAAGGCAGAGAGCACCTGGTGCTGCTCTCTGTAAGGCACTGACTGGAAGCTCTGCTGAAGGAAAGGACTTCATTCCTTAGAGCACTTGCATAAACACAAACAAAACCACTGAAGATGGAAGATGATAGCAGTGAACTCTGCTCCAAAGGGAGACAGGTAAACCCTTTCTATGTATGTGATGCATTCTTTTGAAATGAGGGCAAGAACAAGAATATTTACGTCATAGGTGATTGATTAGCTGAGTTAAGGAGATGATTCATCTGGAGCAACTGTTTGAGAAAAGCATGGACTGTATATTCTGTACCTCCTAATGGCAAATAATTCTTTCTCAGCCCTTATGCTTGTGAGATTTTTCTTTAAAGGTATTTAGTAAGTTCTAGCATCATTTGGAATACAATAAGGATATTTTAAGTTATATACACTGGTGAGACTTACCACAGTCCTGTGCAGTTGAGAAGGGAGGCAATTTGGGAAGATGAGATACTGAAGTTCCTGCATTTGCAGATTTACAACGTGGGTTTCCACTCCAGGCATGCAAGATGGGAATTGTTATTATGCAACTGCAGAGGATTAACTAGCCAGTGGCTTACATAACTTACCACTGAACATGCACAGACCTCTCCTCTGCTGTTATGCCAAGCTCTAAAAAGAGGAGTAAATAGGTTAGGTGTCTTATGTTCAGGAGACATTGCTGCACTGAGAAATCACATAATCAGGCATTTCTTCTCAAACATCATCATCTTTTCTTGCAGTTCTAAGGAACCACAGACATATTGCAGATTATTCCCTTTTTAAACACTTAAACATTTTCATTGCTGTGAATTGCATTTATTAATTTATTGAATTGAATTTATTAATTCCAGCCTCACTGCTGTAGAACATGGAGGCTCCTTCATGAGATTCCTTTGATGCAGTGCTGAAGGGTTTGTTACCCTGGGGAAATCTTTTAAGTAGCATCAATTTACCGTTGGTTTCTCCTGTGTTGTATCTGGTTGCTGATACTGAATTCCTGTTAAAAATTTTTCTGACTTCCAGCAGAGTCAAGTCTGCTAAAGGGTCCTTAGAACAGGTCTAGGTTATTCCAACACATCCTGTGGAGCACTGGCAGTCTCACAGCTAAAATTAACCATCTTTTACACCTTATTGGACTGCAGAACACAGATTGTAATTCCACAGTTTTACCTATTTAACAAAACAATACAGTGTGATTGTTCCCAATTCTACCCAGATATAAATTCTATATATATACAGATAATATATGATGTGTTCAAAACCAGTTAACTGTAAAAGCTGTTTGATTCAAGAATTACTAGACCTGCCAGCATGGCTTGGACCAGCAGTGGCACTGCAAGAGAACACCAGCATCTCCATGGAAATGGCTTGCTGCAGATGCTCCAGGCAGTTGGAGGTCTCTGGCTGGGGACAATGAGATTAAGAAAGAAAAGTGACCAAAACCATTTCTTTTGTACACACATTTCAGCTCAAGTTGTTTCAGTATGAGAAGTGCTTTTAAAAGCAGCAGAATACAGCAGTATTTGTAAAATTGCATTCTATTTAATTTATGTAAGATTTTGTACACCACAACCTTAAAATCCTTTCCAAGTGTCTGCTTTCAATTAGTCTGCAACCAAATTAGGCAGCTGTATGAATACTGGAAAAGCAGGCTTGGAATATGCATTTTCTATAAAATAAACATAAAAACTTATTTTGAGGAAAAATAAAAGCATAAATATATTAAATAATATTAAATATATATAATGTATAATTAAATAATAATAAAATTAATTAAATACTTTTAATATTATAGTTAACATTAATTACCTTATTACACTATTATAATTTTTAGTCTCAATTCTGTCAGCCAAGCTCAAAAAAAGAAACTGTTTAAATATGAATATATTTTATAGATTCATTTTTTCAGTGAATTTACTTCACTGTAGAATACTTACCAGTGTTCAATTCTTTACTAGCATTTTTTCTCATTAAATACATATATAAATGAATTTGGAGTCTCATAAATGATGATTTAATTGTTGAGAGAACGTCTAGGTTTTTTGTACTAATTGCTATGATTGATAGTATTCTAAGGGTGCCAGTTACCACGTAATTTTGCATATATTGATTACTTGTTACCACATATTTCTGTAGCAAAACCAAACAAGATTTCTTTGAATCTATACAAATGTTCTCTCCTAAGCCAATAACTACATAGAACATGGTCTGCAACTAAATTTCCTTCATTATTTATTTTTGCAAACAGCTCTCTCATAAAATTCCTTATCTACCTTAAATAGTCTCTCATCACACTATTAAATGCTGAGGACAAAGAGCATGAAAGTACAGAGAGGTCAGCAGATTGCTTTCTGTCTCCTTGGAGAAATCACTAATTAAAAATCCTGTCACTCTGCTCAGTCTGCCAGACCTGACATGCTATCAAACATCCATGCTGGACAAAATACAAATCTGATATTGTTTTCCTCCTTTTTTTATTTTATTTTTTTTTTAAGTTTAACTTCAGTTGCCTTGAAGGTGGTTATCAGCAGTGGGTTCACCGCAGTAGGTAGAACTTTGAATCTACTCACTGTTGGTTCACAGGGATAGCTCCATTTTGGCCTCCCAGATTTTGTTTCTCCAAGCTGGGAAATTGTAACAAAGTGAGTATGGCTGGGTAACCTACCCGAGAGCTTCCCAAGACAGCATGGAAAATTTATCTAGATGTTTCAGGGTATTTTAGTCAAATTTTCCTAATAGTTTCTATAGGTCTGTCTCTAGGGAAGTAGTAATCCCTTTTGCACATGAATACTCTAATTGCTTTATTTCTTTGTGCTTAACAGCAACCATTCATAAAAGACTTGCACAGTCTGATACTGCAGACTGATACCCGATTCCACATATTTCCTCCCATTCTTATCACACTGCAAATTGAATTTAACATTTGGAACTTCTTGGTGAAAAATTATTAGTAAAAGGACTCCCAAGTATAATAAAATTATTACACAGTTTTATTTTGAAGAACATTTTGCATTTGTTTTAATACAAAATGATGTAGGTCAAGAAATAATTTACAAACCTTTAAGTTCTTATCCTGGCATTGGAAATAAGAATGATTTCAGAGGAAGTCTGTAAGCTGTTCATAGGAAACTGTCATTATGTACAAAATATTTATTGACATGTTTTAAACATCACATTTGTAAAAATGTGAACTGAATTGCTATCTAGCATAGGAACTACAGGTAAAACCTGATAAGATAACTTGTTAGAACAAGTCATTGTTATCCAGTGCTAACAAAATAGACAGTAGCTTTCAGGGTGTTTTAATTATCCTCCAAGGTCATTTCAGCCTCAAAGACATTTCAGGGTTTTACTGCATTGTGAACAATATCGAAGCCCTCTCTTGATTGCATAAAAATAAATCTTTGAAATAGTATACACAGAACAACAGAAAGGTAGAGGCAATAAAATAATATATTTTTATATCAAGGTTTTTGGTTCTGTGTAGACTCATACTATCACATTTCTTCTCTTTCCAAGCAGAGAAAGTAGTACTGAAGTAAAGCATTTTCATTTACCTGTGAAGTATTTTCTGCTCAGATATTTCCTGTGTCAATTTCGGGTATGCAGGTATTACACTTTGTCAAAACTAATTGTCTCATGACAAATACCCTGACATGAGTTTGCCAAGGCTTTTGGGTTTTGGGGTTTTTTTCATGGGATTATTACAAAAATAAAATTAGAGCTTACTTTTCAGTCAAAAAAAAAAAAAAAGTTGAAATTAGTTTAAATTGTTAAGCTTTCCAAGTATAAGACTGAGTAGTCAATGGTACATCCCTTTTGCAGAGAGATTCTTTTGACTCAATTATTAAAAAAAAAAAATCTGATCTGTTGCCAAGTTCAAACTTGACACTTTATCCCAAAAAGAGATTTACACTGAGAGGTGGCTCTATTTAAATATTTATGCTATAGATCTATATATTCCAAGTAAAAATACTTCTATCTAGAATTCTGTGGAGAGTTACAATAATTAGGGTCCATAAATATTGCTGCAGTTCAATTACGGTACAATAATTACAAAATATAGAACATCTCTTTACAAATACAAATCATTGTATATTACAATTAATTTACAATATTTTCTACTATATAATTTTTAGCAAACTATCTTATCTAATTCTACTATAACCTGGTTGCAAGTGCATTAGTAAGAATGCAATTATTCCAGTATATTTTGCCCTTAACATGATAGTCAGAAAACAGACCATCTGAATGATATTTTCCTATGTAAACTGATGTTACATATGACGGATTATTCTTTATATAACTTCTTTTTCCAACAATCTCTAACAGGTAGAGCATGACAAATTGTATTTTAGAAGAGCATTAAGAAAAGAAACCAGGAGGCAAGTTTGAAAACAATGTTAGAATGGATATGCAATGGGTAGCTGATATGCTTTGAGCA